TACATATTAGAGGCTATTGGTGCAAAGAAACGGGAGTCAAAACAAGTGACGGGGCTCTAAACTGCTGATAGTGTGTTGGGTGCCTATCCTTGAACAGATTTGGTCCGTTCTGCGCACCGACGCTTGTCTACCTATCCAAATCAGTTGCGAATGGTCTCAAACCCGGAGAGCCTCACCTACATACATAGTAGAGGCTATTGGTGCAAAGAAACGGGAGTCAAAACAAGTGACGGGGCTCTAAACTGCTGATAGTATGTTGGCTGTCTATCCTTGAACAGATTTGGTCCGTTCTGCGCACCGACGCTTGTCTACCTATCCAAATCAGTTGCGAATGGTCTCAAACCCGGAGAGCCTCACCTACATACATAGTAGAGGCTATTGGTGCAAAGAAACGGGAGTCAAAACAAGTGATGGGGCTCTAAACTGCTGATAGTATGTTGGCTGTCTATCCTTGAACAGATTTGGTCCGTTCTGCGCACCGACGCTTGTCTACCTATCCAAATCAGTTGCGAATGGTCTCAAACCCGGAGAGCCTCACCTACATACATAGTAGAGGCTATTGGTGCAAAGAAACGGGAGTCAAAACAAGTGACGGGGCTCTAAAGTGCTGATAGTATGTTGGCTGCCTATCCTTGAACAGATTTGGTCCGTTCTGCGCACCGACGCTTGTCTACCTATCCAAATCAGTTGCGAATGGTCTCAAACCCGGAGAGCCTCACCTACATACATAGTAGAGGCTATTGGTGCAAAGAAACGGGAGTCAAAACAAGTGATGGGGCTCTAAACTGCTGATAGTATGTTGGCTGCCTATCCTTGAACAGATTTGGTCCGTTCCGCGCACCGACGCTTGTCTACCTATCCAAATCAGCTGCGAATGATCTCAAACCCGGAGAGCCTCACCTACATACATAGTAGAGGCTATTGGTGCAAAGAAACGGGAGCCAAAACAAGTGATGGGGCTCTAAACTGCTGATAGTATGTTGGCTGCCTATCCTTGAACAGATTTGGTCCGTTTTGCGCACCGACGCTTGTCTACCTATCCAAATCAGCTGTGAATGATCTCAAACCCGGTTAGCCTCACCTAGATACATAGTAGAAGATATCGGTACAAAGATGCGGGAGTTAAAATAAGGGACGGGGCTCTAATCTGCTGATAGTGTGTTAGCTGCCTATCCTTGAACAGATTTGGTCCGTTTTGCGCACCGACGCTTGTCTACCTATCCAAACCAGTTGCGAATAATCTCAAACCCGGATAGCTTCACCATGATATTAAAGGCAATTGATACAAAGAAACGGGAGTTAAAATAAGTGACGGTGCTCTAAACTGCTGATAGTGTGCTGGCTGCCTATCCATGAAACTGTGCAAGGATAGGCATGTACGCAACATCTCACCGTTTAATCGTCTGGATTTTTGTTTTAGCCCTATTTCTCCTCACATTCAGGTAGTACATCCTATTCCCTAGCCAGAGGAACTGGTGTGAGCTCATTCGCACAACTACGCAGCAGTTGACGCTTGCTTGTGCGTTGGATGGCATGAAACTGTGCAAGGATAGGCATGTACGCAACATGTTACCGTTTAATCGTATGGATGTTTTTTTTTAGCCCTATTTTTCCTCACATTCAGGTAGTATATCCTATTCCCTAGCCAGAGAAACTGGTGTCAGCTCATTCGCACAACTATGCAGCAATTGACGCTTGCTTGTGCGTTTGATGGCATGAAACTGTGCAAGGATAGGCATGTACGCAAGATGTCACCGTTTAATCGCCTGGATGTTTTTTTTAGCCATATTTGTCCTCACATTCAGGTAGTACATCCTATTCCCTAGCCAAAGGAACTAGTTTGAGATCATTCACACAACTACGCAGCACGTGACGCTTGTTTGTGTCAGAATGTCATTGTTCTCTAGCCTGCAGTGGGGTACTCTATAGCGAGTACAACCCCTTAGGGTTTCCTATATGTATCCTGCTGCTTTCTAGTGAACCCCCTCTTCTTCTCCTTTGCTTATTCTCTCTTGCCTAGCTAGGGCTTACCTAGCTATGGCTCCTAACTCTACCTACTATTTTCACATGCTATCAGAGCAGGTCGATCCCCTTGGGTCGATCCTGTGGGTGGGCTCACCACCTCACTGCTTCCGCTGCTACTGCCACTCTCTGTGTCGCACGCCCCGTGGCGTGCGACGGATTTTTCATCCCGCCGCGCGCTCGGAGCGTGCGGCGGTTTTCTGCCCGCCGTGCGCCCCGAGGCGCGCGGCGGTTTTCTGCCCGCCGTGCGCCCCGAGGCGCGCGGCGGTTGTCTGCCCGCCGTGCGCCCCGAGGCGCGCGGCGGGTTTCTGCCCCGTCACTCCGCGCGTCGCTCCCGGGAGGCGCTGCGGCGGGCGACGGGGACCCGCGCGTCGCCCCCCGTCGCCCGTCGTGGCCTGCGCGCGGCTCGTACAGCCTGCGCGCGGCCCGTACGGGCTGCGCCAGGCCCGCGCGCGGCCCGTACGGGCTGCGCCAGGCCCGCGCGCGGCCCGTACGGGCTGCGCCAGGCCCGCGCGCGGCTCGGGCCGCCTGCGCGCGGTTCGGGCGGCTGTGCCAGGCCCGTGGGCGGCCCGTTCTTCGCTGCCCCTGCGCTGCCCGCTGTCCCCCGTGCTTCTGATGGCGCCCCACCCCTGCTGCTGCCCGTTCTCCTGAATTAGGGTTTGGGGGTGGGGGGTCTGGGGGTGCAGCTTCTGTGTGCCGTCCCCTGCTCCTCCTCCTCCTCCGTCTCCCAGTGCTGCAGCTGCCGCTGAGGGGGGTGGACCTGTTGGAGCCGTCGGAGTGGTACTAAGGGGGGTGAAGGGGGAGTGGAGCTAGGGGTGAAGCAGGGGGTGTGTGTCAGGGGGAGTGGGACTGTTTGGGGAGGTTGAACTGAGGTTGCCGTCGTGTCGCCAGCAGCACCTGTAGTCCGGGGAGTTTCTCCGGTAGCCCAGTCGCAGCCAGCTGTGCCAGTCGCCCGTGGGTCCGTTGCTCGTCTGCCGCTACTTTTAGCCGCGGAGCCAGTTACTCCAGTAGTCCGGAGCGTTGTTCCGGTAGCCGCTGTGCCAGTGTGACTCCTGTTGCCCGTGTGTCTGCAGCTTCAGCCGTCGCCTCCTATCTCCTCTCCTCTCACTCTCGCCTCCTCCTCCTCACTTGCCCTCTGCGTTAGCCTCTAGCTTTGCTCATAATTGTGAACTTTAAACTATTGCTTCTTGTACTTGTGCTCAGAATGTGTGGTGACATTGTGATCCACCCTGAGCTTGTTCTGCTTTGCTTGCTCTGCTGATTACACCCCACTTTGGCTATGGGGGTGTGTCAGAATGTCATTGTTCTCTAGCCTGCAGTGGGGTACTCTATAGCGAGTACAACCCCTTAGGGTTTCCTATATGTATCCTGCTGCTTTCTAGTGAACCCCCTCTTCTTCTCCTTTGCTTATTCTCTCTTGCCTAGCTAGGGCTTACCTAGCTATGGCTCCTAACTCTACCTACTATTTTCACAGTTTGTGCGTTTGATGACATGAAATTGGGCATGTACGCAACATGTCACCATTTCAACGTTTCGTTCTGTTTTTTTTTTTATTCATTCGTTCATTCATGTACTACATCATTATTAATTACCATAGGGACTGGAACGAGCTCGTTCGCATAACTACGCTGCACGCGACTCTTCTCGTATTTCTGCCCTTTCGTCTTCGTACTCCTTTGTAATCGCTTCATTCACTTTCGTCAGGAGTGAACAGCAGTTTTTTACATTTGTTATTCGTAACAAGTATCATAGTGCAACAATGTATTTGCTATACATGTAAATAGGCATCTATTACATTATGCACATTTGTAATGCTTTAGAGCACAACTATTGCTTTTAAAGGTATATGTTTTACAATCTAAGTCTGTACAGATAATGTGCTATTATTACATTTTTCAGTTCGCCAGCACAGCAGTTTAGTTCGAGGCCCAGAGCCAATGGGACACGGATGCCCAGTTCCGGGCCTCGATCTAGGTGTCCCGAGGCTCAAATATGAGTTCGACCCCGCCAAACGAGCTCTTCGACGAATCGAGTGGTTTCCGAAGCTGCCAACATGTCTGCCCAAGCAGTTTCGAGAGTCCCGAAGCAGCAATCCCTGATTTCGTTTCGACGCGACGCGTCGAAAGTATCTTTCCCCACTCAGTTGAACAAGTTACTTCAGACATACCCCACGAAACCCTACTTTCTGAGGGGCCCCATTTTTGGGATGACGAACCTGCTGCTGGTGTTTCGAGAACCGCCAGCTGACTACAGCTAGTGGTACAAATGTCAATGAGTTAGTGCTCCCAACCGCCGAGCGTGGGGTCCGCTTGTACGACAGCGGTGGGCTCCGCTTGTACGACAGCGGTGGGCTCCGCTTGTACGACAGCGGTGGGCTCCGCTTGTACTACGACTGCGGTGAATTCCGCGGCGCTTGCACTAACGACAGCAGGAAAGCTAGTTAGTGGATGATGGCCGTCTCGCTTAAAGCGACGGGCAACTTTTGGCAGTGTTGGGTTCAGAAGTTTTTTTTTTTAACCAGGCTTGCCAGCGCGAAAGTGCTGGCTGGCGAAAACCAGGATTTCGTGCGGACAATTTCCATCCGCAGTAACAGTTCGCCAGGGTTCTGGGTTTTGGGTGGCAAATGTGCACCGTCGCTTTAAGTGATGCGAGTGCTGCGGAAGGCGGGTCGCGGAAATTATGGCATCATGTACCGCAAGAGCTCTTACTATTGGTAACTCCGTAGAACGAATACTAAGCGCGTTCGCGGTACTCGTCGTCCTCTAGTGCCTCACTCGAGTCGAGTGTGTTACCATCAACTCATAGCACCGTCACTGTCAGACGCTCCTTTCGCCTTCCAGAATGACGTCGCACTCCGTTATCGCCCCTCTCTAAAAAACCTGACCGACGATCCCCTGCCAACCAAGCCCGCCGCCACTGCTTCACTTAATCTCACTGCTCCTGTGCTTCCCGCGCCTCCTCCTATTCAACCTGTCAGTATGGCTCGTCGAACCGCGTGGAAGCGACCGGCGAGGGGAGACAGCCAACCGGCGAGGGGAGACAGCCAACCGGCGAAAGGAGACAGCCAGGCGCATCCCCATCATCTCACGAGCGATTCGTGCGTGACGGCCATGAGTAACTCCCCCGCCGACGGGCCCCGCCCAGTGCTGACTCCTCCGCAGAAGCGGCGTGCCGCAGCCGCGTGCAGAAGGGAGCTACTGAACGCGCTGCGGCAGTGGGCGACAGAGGTGAGGCTGAGAGAGGCCGAGGCGGAGCTGCTGCCGAGCCCCCACTTGCAGCTCACTCGCGAAGGTCACAGCCCTGCTAGTAGCCCCACTGATAGCCGTGCTACTACCGCCGACAGCACCACTGCTAGTAGTACTGAAATTAGTACCAACACCGGCGTCAGTGGCGTGACCAGCACCATTGGCACAACTTGTAAGAGCGCAGTTGCTGACTCTGTCAGCCCAGGCAATGCTGCTGCGGCTGCTGCTCCTGCTCCTGCTGCTCCTGTCGCTGCCCCAGCAGACTCCGCCGTGCTGCTGTGCTCTGCGGCCTGGCGGCGGGCAGCGCTGGCGCGAGCGGCAGCGAGTGGGAACGTGCGGAGGTCGTTGAGGCGGAACGCGACGACGCTGGCGCGGATAGAAGCGGGCGTGGATGCTGTGTGCCGCGGGGTGCAAGAGATAGAGGCCAGCCTGGTCGGCGAGTGCGGTGACAAGGGCAACGCGGGTGGCCAGGGTGGGAAGGTGCTGGTAGCTGAAGCAGGAGGCGCAACAGGAGCAGGAGCAGGAGCAGGAGCAGGAGCAGGAGCAGGAGCAGGAGCAGGAGCAGGAGCAGGAGCAGCAGCAGTAGCTAAGTGCAGCACGTGGCCTGAGGCATGCTGGCGTGTGCCTCACATGCCCTTCTCCGATGTCATGGTGCTCCCCATCCCCTTCCTTATCCCCCCTCCTTCCTCACCCTAATGCCTTCCTCCCCTCGTCCATCGCAACAGGCAAGCTTTCTCACCTTGCCCACTCAAACAAGCGACTCTCCGTACTCCCCTTCACCCCTTCACACCCCCCTCCTCAAGTCTTCCTCCCCCGAGCCTGCCCCGTTTCCCCTTTCTCCACGACATCCCCTCCAGTCTATTAGGGCACACAAGCACTATTGACACTTCTAAGCACCCCCCCGGCCCCATGCCCTTTATTCCACCTGCAGGCCAGCAGGGCGCGCAGGTTCCTCGTATTCGCCTACTCCGACGAGCAGCTCTCCAACACGCGCTCTCACCTCGCAGAGGCCGCCAGCTTCGCCCAAGCCACCAACCGCACGCTCGTGCTGCCCAAGGTATCACCACTCCCGTTGAAACGCCTGCCGGCTTATGTGACGAAAATTTGAAAGGCAACCGCTGTGGCTCTGGAAAACCCCCGCTCTGGCCCGGTGGTCTATGGCACGGACAGTTGTACCACTCCATCGCTTCCCAATGTACCACTCCCCTTGGTGCCCAAAGCACCACTCTGCACGTTTCACTACACACTCTCTCCTGTCTCCCGCCTCTTCTGCTTATGTTTCCCCCTTCCTCTCTGTGGGCCTCCCCCTCCTTTGCTGTCTTTCAAAACCCCACTTTATGTGATTCCATTCCCCCCCCCAACCCCTCTCCTCCTCTCCCCTCCTCCCCGTCTCCCCGTCTCCCCGTCTCCCCCTCTCCCCCTCTCCCCCTCTCCTTTCTCTCCCCGTCGCAACCATGGCAGCCAGTCGCTGCCGCCTCTCACTCGTGCGTTCCCTGCCACTCTGCACCAGGGTTAAAAAAAACGACCGTATTATTGAAATTTTACCGTAAAAAACGGTACCGTAAAAAAAACGACCGTTTAAAACGGTTTAAAAACGACCGTCTAAAAACGACCGTTTAAAACGGTTCCAGGAGGTGTTTTCAGTTTAACTAACAAATCGGCCACTTTATGGGACCAAATTGAACCCGAATTTCAGCAGGATGAAGGGGACGAGCCCCTTATTGCATGTGTGCGCCTGTTGGCGTGTTTGAAAATGTGTATGGCCTTGTTTTCCCCTTTTTTTTCTTGGTGAACAGAGTTCTCTAACAAAAAAACGGCCGTATTTTTGAAAAATCACCGTAAAATACGACCGTAAAAAACGGACCGTATTTTACGGAAACCGTATTTTTGAACCTTGCTCTGCACCTACTTCAACCTGTCTCGTCTCAACCCCACTGGATCTCCCTTCCTCAGTCCTCTTCCCCTCCTCCCCCACATGCATATCACTGCAGGCCAGTCGCAGCCGCCTCTCACTCGCACGCTCCCTGCCACTCTGCACCTACTTCAACCTATCTCGTCTCAACGCCCACTGGGTCTCGCCCGACCTCTTCCTGCTCCTCGCTAGAGCCGCTCTCAACCTCCCCTTTGCTGCTGCTGCACCTGGCGCCACCCCGTCCGTGGCCTTTGTGCATGTGCAGTCCTCCTACCTATGGCGCATGCCCTTCTCTCGAAGCAAGTAGTCATTTTCCACACATGGCGCATGCCCTTCACTCAAAGCAAATAGGCCCGCGCATGCCTCTAGTGCCATGCCATTTCCAAACGTTACATTCGACACTGCAATGTGTAGCCATTTCCGGCCATGCCATAGCATCCCATCATATGACATCTGGTTTGGAAATGCATAAAAAGCATTCGTTTCGTTGCACCTTGGTGTGCAGGGCCTCTGGTGGACATGCTGGGTGAGCTGATGGTGTATGGCATGGGGTACGCGCCCTCCAGGCACAACAGTGTTGATATCATCATGCCCACCAACAGCACTGCAGTTCTCCAGAAGCTGTACAAGTGGTGCGTCACCTCGTGGGTTCATGACTTGTGATGTGTTCACCTCGTGGGTTCATGACTTGTGATGTGTTCACCTCGTGGGTTCATGACTTGTGATGTGTTCACCTCGTGGGTTCATGACTTGTGATGTGTTCACCTCGTGGGTTCATGACTTGTGATGTGTTCACCTCGTGGGTTCATGACTTGTGATGTGTTCACCTCGTGGGTTCATGACTTGTGATGTGTTCACCTCGTGGGTTCATGACTTGTGATGTGTTCACCTCGTGGGTTCATGACTTGTGATGTGTTCACCTCGTGGGTTCATGACTTGTGATGTGTTCACCTCGTGGGTTCATGACTTGTGATGTGTTCACCTCGTGGGTTCATGACTTGTGATGTGTTCACCTCGTGGGTTCATGACTTGTGATGTGTTCACCTCGTGGGTTCATGACTTGTGATGTGTTCACCTCGTGGGTTCATGACTTGTGATGTGTTCACCTCGTGGGTTCATGACTTGTGATGTGTTCACCTCGTGGGTTCATGACTTGTGATGTGTTCACCTCGTGGGTTCATGACTTGTGATGTGTTCACCTCGTGGGTTCATGACTTGTGATGTGTTCACCTCGTGGGTTCATGACTTGTGATGTGTTCACCTCGTGGGTTCATGACTGATGGAGCCATGGAGCCGTGAAGAAGGAAGTGGCTCGTAACATATCCATTCCGCCCTTTTCCTGTTTCTGCAACCCAAGGCCTGCCACTGCAACTTAGAGCTTGCCGTTGCAACATGGCTTGTCATTACAACCGAATGTCACATATACCGGTAACTGCAATGCAACCATCTTAGGCAGCACACCCATCTTCCAAACGACTTTACCACAATTCTGCCCTTTTCTGCATCCTTTGTGCATCCTCTGTATGGCACCTCCATGCCTGCAGGCGGCACACGGACGTGCTGGTGTGGATGAAGAGCACCTTCGGTGTGGTGGACTTTAACCCTCCCACCAGCGCCATCTCGTTCCAGATGCTTCCATACAGCCGGGCGTGGCACGCCATGGCCCATCGAGCCATGGCCCGCCTGCCCCCACGGTGCAATGCACTACCGCTCCGAGTTCATCGCCTTCCACCTCGTGAGTTCATCGCCTTCCACCTCGTGAGTTCATCGCCTTCCACCTCGTGAGTTCATCGCCTTCCACCTCGTGAGTTCATCGCCTTCCACCTCGTGAGTTCATCGCCTTCCACCTCGTGAGTTCATCGCCTTCCACCTCGTGAGTTCATCGCCTTCCACCTCGTGAGTTCATCGCCTTCCACCTCGTGAGTTCATCGCCTTCCACCTCGTGAGTTCATCGCCTTCCACCTCGTGAGTTCATCGCCTTCCACCTCGTGAGTTCATCGCCTTCCACCTCGTGAGTTCATCGCCTTCCACCTCGTGGAGTTCATCGCCTTCCACCTCGTGAGTTCATCGCCTTCCACCTCGTGAGTTCATCGCCTTCCACCTCGTGAGTTCATCGCCTTCCACCTCGTGAGTTCATCGCCTTCCACCTCGTGAGTTCATCGCCTTCCACCTCGTGAGTTCATCGCCTTCCACCTCGTGAGTTCATCGCCTTCCACCTCGTGAGTTCATCGCCTTCCACCTCGTGAGTTCATCGCCTTCCACCTCGTGAGTTCATCGCCTTCCACCTCGTGAGTTCATCGCCTTCCACCTCGTGAGTTCATCGCCTTCCACCTCGTGAGTTCATCGCCTTCCACCTCGTGAGTTCATCGCCTTCCACCTCGTGAGTTCATCGCCTTCCACCTCGTGAGTTCATCGCCTTCCACCTCGTGAGTTCATCGCCTTCCACCTCGTGAGTTCATCGCCTTCCACCTCGTGAGTTCATCGCCTTCCACCTCGTGAGTTCATCGCCTTCCACCTCGTGAGTTCATCGCCTTCCACCTCGTGAGTTCATCGCCTTCCACCTCGTGAGTTCATCGCCTTCCACCTCGTGAGTTCATCGCCTTCCACCTCGTGAGTTCATCGCCTTCCACCTCGTGAGTTCATCGCCTTCCACCTCGTGAGTTCATCGCCTTCCACCTCGTGAGTTCATCGCCTTCCACCTCGTGAGTTCATCGCCTTCCACCTCGTGAGTTCATCGCCTTCCACCTCGTGAGTTCATCGCCTTCCACCTCGTGAGTTCATCGCCTTCCACCTCGTGAGTTCATCGCCTTCCACCTCGTGAGTTCATCGCCTTCCACCTCGTGAGTTCATCGCCTTCCACCTCGTGAGTTCATCGCCTTCCACCTCGTGAGTTCATCGCCTTCCACCTCGTGAGTTCATCGCCTTCCACCTCGTGAGTTCATCGCCTTCCACCTCGTGAGTTCATCGCCTTCCACCTCGTGAGTTCATCGCCTTCCACCTCGTGAGTTCATCGCCTTCCACCTCGTGAGTTCATCGCCTTCCACCTCGTGAGTTCATCGCCTTCCACCTCGTGAGTTCATCGCCTTCCACCTCGTGAGTTCATCGCCTTCCACCTCGTGAGTTCATCGCCTTCCACCTCGTGAGTTCATCGCCTTCCACCTCGTGAGTTCATCGCCTTCCACCTCGTGAGTTCATCGCCTTCCACCTCGTGAGTTCATCGCCTTCCACCTCGTGAGTTCATCGCCTTCCACCTCGTGAGTTCATCGCCTTCCACCTCGTGAGTTCATCGCCTTCCACCTCGTGAGTTCATCGCCTTCCACCTCGTGAGTTCATCGCCTTCCACCTCGTGAGTTCATCGCCTTCCACCTCGTGAGTTCATCGCCTTCCACCTCGTGAGTTCATCGCCTTCCACCTCGTGAGTTCATCGCCTTCCACCTCGTGAGTTCATCGCCTTCCACCTCGTGAGTTCATCGCCTTCCACCTCGTGAGTTCATTGCCAGCTGGATGGTGGCAGCACGCAACCCATGAACCCGACGTGTCATTTGAAGACATTTGGCTTTTGAGCAGACACAAAGTGGCTCACAAGTCATTTAGATTCGCATCTTGCTGCTGCCGCAATCCCACCTCACCCACACACTGTAGGCGCACAAGCTAGTGCGAAGAGGCTTCAAGACGGAGGCAGGCGTGCTGGAGGAGCTGATGGCGGGGTGCATGGAGGGGGCTCGCGACCTCATCAGCAGCATGAAGCGCCGCCACAACATCTCCGCCGTTTTTATTGCCACCGACGTGCCCTTTGACGACAAGGCGGGCAGCGTGGTGCGGTCGGACTCGTGGAAAGAGACCACGTGGAAGTTTCAAGGGCAAGAGAGGGTGCTGCAGGCCCCACAGGAGAAGCTGCGGTGGCTGAGGGAGCAGGTGGCGGGGAGTGTGATGGTGGATGAGCTCTTGCCCGCCATCAACCAGTATGACCCCGGTCAGTGCACACTGCTTGGGTGGCTGGCTTCTTTCGTGTGTACCTGCTTCGATGGCTGCTTTGATGGCGATTTGGGTGGCTTCTTGGGTGCGTGGGCGGCTGCTTAGATGCCTGCTTGAGTGGCTGCTTGGGCGCTTCGGATGCAGCTACGTGGCAAGATCTGCCTGCCAGAGACTTTGTCTCACGCCCCTTCTCCTTCTGCCAACAGATTCCTAATGAGTGCAACCATCTGTTCCTGTGTGCCATGCCAACCCTCACCCCTTTCCTATCCACCTCCTCTTCCTCTCCCGCAATCTCTTCTCCGTTCCGTCCATGCAGGCATTGTGGCCATATTGGACAAGCTTCTGTGCGCACATGCCTGTTATAGTCACAATAGGCTTGAATTTGCCTAAAACGAAAGATAGAGAGCACAGACGGATTTCTGCACAGCGGCTTCAAACGTTGATAGCGTTCTGCTCACAGCTGCAAATGACTTGATTCAAATTGGATCTGGAGCGTCTTCAAATTTAGATTGCACGATTTGATAAAGAATTGACGACACAGTGTCGGTTTGAACGAACGGTACTATGGCAGCCACTATAGTCTTAGAACACAAGATAGGAAGAGTTACGAGTTGGGAATGACTCCCAGCTCCTACAAACCCCAAGAGCCGAGGTACAGTGATGTGGAACAGTGCCACACTGTCCCCAACCACGAAGGGTCTCGAAACTACCCTTCACTAGGGCCTACACCAAGTGAAATGTTACACTACACAAAGTAATGTAACTATCTTCAATATCTTGAGGTGTACCCTTTTGGCAAGCTTCGAAATCACTTGAGGCTTGACACCAAGGCTCGGGCTCTTCATCACAAACTCATCCTTGAGTTCTTGATGGGTCTGCTGCACACACCTGCGACACACCGAACGTTCGACACAGGACAAAATAGAAACCGCGCACGACAAAATAGAAACCGCGCGCGAGACACAAACGACCGCGTAACACGCGTCTAGCGATAACTCGCTATTGACTCGACACACACACTCGACATCATGACTCAACATTCACACACAATTATAAGCATGAAATATATATTATCCCATGCCCTCATACCATTCCATACACACACACATTCACGCACACGGACAACAAGCCGAGTGCAAACCGTAGGGTTGCACCAACAAACTCCCCCTCGGATTGTTGGCCTTAGGATATGTTGCTCTCTCAGTTCAGAGCCATCCCAGCCAGCTTGCAACACTTCCAATGCTGCTGCTCCACCAGCCTCTTGGTCATCATGTCAGCCGGCTGCCCCGTGGTCTTCACGTAGCGCAACTCAACTTCACCCGCGGTTACCATGCTCCTCGTCCAATGCCACTTCACCCTCATGTGCTTCGTGAGTCCATGCAACACAGGGTTCTTAGCAAGAGCAATGGCACCCTGGCTGTCACAGTACAGTGGGGTAGGTCCTTGCTGCTCCTCCCCCAATTCAGCCAACAAACGCCGCTGCCACACAATCTCCCGTACGGCACGGAAGAGTGCCATGTACTCGGACTCCACCGAGCTCAAAGCTTGGTCAACCTGCTTCTTGCTCTCCCAAGCAGTTGGGCCTCCACCAACACAGCATATGAAGCCTCCCACACTTGTCATGTCCTCTGGTTCTGATGCATATGAAGCATCCGAGTAGGCGGTGAGGAACAAACGCCCGGGTTCAACACCATCCGCGCCCTTTTGGCGCCTTTGTGCCGCCGCCGAGTATTGCAGCCCAACGGTCGGTGTTTGGCCAAGATACTTGGCCACCCTCATTCCAGCTGCTACCTGCTCCTCATTAGGGCATTGCACAACCCTAGCCAGCTGCCCGGTAGCAAACGCGACGTCCGGTCGGGTGTTTACCGCCGCATACATGAGGCTGCCCACCAACGAGTGAAATCGGCGCCTCTCCTCTTCACCAACGCTCTCCTCCTCTGGTCCCTTCACACACTTGAACCCAGAGGGAAAGGGTGTAGCCACATGGCCTTCACTCTGCCCAAAGTTGGCAGCCAATGCCTCCAGGTACTTTTGTTGATGCACCCGCATGCACCGCTTCTCCACATCTCGTTCGATGTGGAGCCCAAGGTAGAAGCTCACGTCACCAAGGGCCTTGCACTTGAACTTGACTTGAAGCTTCAGCATCACCTCCTTCACAAGGTCAGAAGAGGGTGAGAAAATGAGGATGTCATCCACATAAACCACCATGAAACTCCTCTGCTCCCCCTCGCCAAGCATGAACAAGGAGTGATCGGCCGTTGAGGGAGTGAAGCCGATCCCCTCCAACACTTCGCGCAGCTTCATGTACCATTGCCTAGGGGCCTGCTTCAGCCCATAGAGGGCCTTCTTCAGCTTCCACACTCTGCCACTACCATCATCAAACCCCTCTGGCTGCGCCATAAAAATCTCCTCCTCAAGGATGCCGTTAAGGAATGCCGTTACGATGTCCATTTGCTTTACTACCCATCCTTTGATGGCGGCTCCCGCGAATAGGGTTCGCAGCGTCGTCGGCTTCACCACAGGGGCAAACAGCTCCTTGAAGTCCACCTTCTCCTTCTGCTGGTACCCCTTGGCTACAAGCCTAGACTTGTAGCGCTCGATCTTGCCGTCGGCATCCGACTTGATTTTGAAGAGCCACTTGGACGTTATCGCCGTACGCCCCTCCGGTAGCTCCACCAATTCAAACGTGTCATTCTCCTCGATGCTCTTCAGCTCACTCTCCATGGCCTTCTTCCACTCCTCAGCATCACTACTCTCCAAAGCCTCCTTGAGAGTTGCTGGTTCTCCCGGCATCTCCACCGGAGAGAAGAACGCGAAGGCACACTCCTCGTAGTCACTCTCCTCGTCGTCTCCGACCATCATTGCCGCTCCGGCCAGGGCTGTCTTGCCCTGCTTTCCCGGCGCATCATAGGTCAGCCTATTAGGGGGTTGAACTCTCCTCTTCCCCCTTCCTTCCTCCTCAGCTGCAGGGACTTGAAGGCCTTGGCGTTGCTGCGGTGTGGCTCGAATCCGTGGAGCACTCGTAGTACGGGAAGGGAGTGACGGTGCACGCTCGCTCACTTGCTGCACCTCCTCCTCTTCTTCCTCTGCATCATTGGCCTCCTCTCCCCCATTCACAAGGGAGGATTGCCTTGTGGTTGTGCTGCCGCTGCTCAGTTTCAAAGGCAGCTCCACATGCTCCAAACCGGAACTCTTCACCTCCCCAAACCGCACGCCTATCTTCGCCTCATTCTCCGCCTTCCAATCCTTGTACATGAAGTTCTCCATGAACTTGCAGTCCCTGCTCACCAAGAACTTCTTGGTGAATGGGTCCCAAAGAAGCCATCCCTTGCTGTTTTGAGCCATGCCCAAGTGCACGGCCCACACCGCCTTGGCACCAAGCTTGTTGTGCCAAGATGCTTAGGCACGAGCGCCATGCACATGCACCCGAACACCCGAAGCATATCCACCTTTGGCTTCCTTCCTAGCCACTCCACATAGGGCACCCATTTGTCTGCTCCCACATGAGTCAAGGCTCTGTTCTTGGCCACACACGCGCTCCGCACCGCATCAGGCCAGAAATAGTCGGGTAGCCCGGCTTCAATGAGCAACCCGCGTGCCGCCTCCGTGATTGTGCGGTTCGCTCGCTCGGCGATGCCGTTCATTGCAGGGGAGTATGGCATGGTGAGGGAGTGCCGAATACCATTCTTCTTCAGCCACAACCCAAACTCCTTGCTCAGGAACTCTCCCCCTCGATCGGTGCGGATTGACTTGACTAAACGGTCTTGTTGCCGCTCCACCATCGGGAACCAATCCGTCTTCAACGTTTCAGCCACGTCGCTCTTCTTGGCCAGCACGTACACCCAAGTCATGCGGGTGTAGACGTCGACAATGGTGAGAAAATACTCAGCTCCAGCAGCTCCAAGCTTCAGGGGGCCCACCACGTCCATCACCACCTCATCAAGCGGTGCCTTTGCCGTTGCCTCCGAACTAGAGAACAGAAACCGGGTGAACTTGGCTTGAATGCACGTCGGGCAGCCAAGCACCTCATCGGGCTCCCCCTTCACACGTATGCCAGCAACCATCTCATTCTTCACTAGCTGCTGCAAGATGGGCAGGGCCACATGCCCCATGCGCCGATGCAAGGTGAGCCAATCACACTCCCCCGTAGCCGAAGTTGGATTGGAGAATGCCGCGCTCGCAATAGCGCCCCACATACTCTCTCCGTAGTCCTCCTCCGCTGCTGCCTCTGGGTTCTCCTCACCCTTTTGCTGCTCCTTGGTTGCTGCACCACTCTCCTTAGGTTCACTGAACTTGCTGGTCCCTCCAGGTTTGCTCTTCTTGAGCTCATTCTCCTTAGCGCGACCGTTCGCGCCATCGTCGCTACCGACCGCTCCATCCTTGGTGCTGATGCTTGCTGCCACTTGCCTCTCCTTAGGCATAGGGACCACTGGGATCTGCCACATCTCGTTGTAGACATCCCTGTCCTCATGAAGGTCCCAAAGAATTCGATCGCCAAGCCTTGCGGTGTAGGTCTTGGCTCCCTTCGAGTTCGTGTCCATGCCGGCCTTTGCCAACCGCCGCACGGAAATCAGGTTTGCAGCAAGGCTGGGCACCCAAAGCACGTTCTTGAGGCCCACCATCTTCCCATCAGCACCCTTGAACATGGCCTTGCCCATGCCTTTCACCTCTGCTCGCTGCCCCAAAGCCGATGTGACATGCTTCACCGGTGACGGCTCGAGTTCGGTGAGCAAGTCCGGGCGAGGTGTCATGCTATAGGTAGCACCACTATCAATCACCCAATAGTCCAGGGGGTGTAGGGTCACCTTCTCCACAGCTGCTGGCTCCTCAAAGCCTTCATCCTTCTCTGGACCAGCCGGTACTTGCGTCGACACGAAGTAGAATAGACCCGGGTATCGATCGTCGCTCGGGTCCTTGTCGTTGTCTCCGCTCTTCATGTTTGCAGCTCCGCCACCGCGACCGCCACGGCCTCCACGGCCTCGTCCTCTCCCTCCTCCTGCTCCTCTACCCTCTTGGCCTTGAGCAGGGGTCCAACCATTAGGGAGTTTGTAGCAGTCGCGCCACATGTGTCCGCTCTTGTGGCAATAGTGACACTCGCCGTCGAA